GCCGCATAAAGTGCTCAAAGATATCAATGTTTGCCTCAAAGGGGGAGAAAAGGTGGGAGTCGTGGGCCGGACGGGCGCCGGCAAGTCGTCAATCATTGCAGCCCTGTTTCAACTCACAGAACCTTTAGGACAGATATTGATAGACGGAGTGGACATCAAAACTATAGGTTTACATGACTTGAGAAGTTGTATATCAATAATACCTCAGGAACCGGTGCTCTTCACGGGTTCGGTGCGCAAGAATTTGGATCCTTTTGGTGAACACTCAGACGACGAGCTCTGGTCGGCTCTGTCTGAGGTACAGCTCCGGGATGTCGTGCAGTCAATGCCAGAACAGTTGGACGCAGTGGTGACCAAAAGGGGCAGTAATCTGAGTGTAGGTCAGCGCCAATTGGTATGTCTGGCGGGACAGCACTTTTATTCCCGTCACCCGTCACCCGTACCCGTCGCGACGGGTGACCCGTCACCCGTCGACGGGTTACCCGTCACCCGTACCCGTCGGTGGGTTAACTTGTTATCTTATGTAAAATTAGACGCTGAGTGCGAAAATGAAATCTGTTTTTGTCAATCTCGAATAATTTTTGCGTTATTCGACTTAGAAATATTTTTGTCGAAAATTTTAAATTGACTTGATTTATTGATATGATATATTAATTTGATGTAGATTTTAACGTTGGTTAAGATTATCTAATCAGATTTAAAATTGCATTTATCGTATTCAAAATATTTAACTTTAAAATGTTAAAATCTGATTAACTCGAAAATCATTCATGATAGAATATTTTGAATTTTAAATTTGAGGTCGGCGTCAAATTCCATATCAAATCCATATATCATATCAATAAATCAAGCCAATTAAAAATTTTCGACAAAAATATTTCTAAGTCGAATAACGCAAAAATTATTCGAAATTGACAAAAACAGATTTTATTTTCGAACTCAGCGTCTAATTTTACATAAGATAACAAGTTAACCCACCGACGGGTACGGGTGACGGGTAACCCGTCGACGGGTGACGGGTGACCCGTCGCGACGGGTACGGGTCACCCGTCGCGACGGGTACGGGTGACGGGTGACGGGAATAAAAGTGCTGTCCTGTCTGGCGAGAGCTATCCTACGAGACAATCGGATACTAGTGTTAGACGAGGCGACCGCTAATGTCGACCACAGAACCGATGCTCTCATTCAGACCACTATTAGACAGAGGTTTAGATACTGTACTGTCATTACGATTGCCCACAGACTCAACACTATCATCGACTCCGACAAAGTGATGGTAAGCCAGGGTTTGATAGGGGGTTGGGTTCGCATCACTTGTGTTGTACTCATTGT